CGCGGCTGCCCGCGCCTACGGCCGGGGGCGGGCGGGGCGGTGGGCGGGGCGGGGCGGAGCGGGGACACCGCCCCCGGCGCCGCGGCCGCGGAGCCCGCCCCCAGCGCACACCCTCCAGCCACCGGGGGACTGGGACCCAGGGTGGGGGGCGCGGGTCTTCTGGTGCCCGGAGGGCTCCGCGCCCCCGGGCATGACACCGGGCGGCGGCCAGATGCCCTCCTCGGCCTTGGCCGAGTGGGTTTACCTACTTTTCTCCAGGCTAGCAGATGGTCTCGGCCGCGGCATCCCCGGCTCGTGCGGCAGATCCCTTTGGGAACACGGCCCGGGAGGGCATCTTTCCGCCTCATGTGTTCAGGAAGCCGCGTAGTAGCCCACCAGCAAACACTGAACTCTTGTGTTAATTTAACAAACTTAATGGAACAAACACATGAACAGAAGTGGGGAGGGAAAAAAAGAAAGAAAGGAAAAAAAGTCCACCTGAAGTTAAAAAATAAGGTGTCACACATAGGCATTCTGTGCCCTCCACAGTGATGACCATGTCTTTTAACTACTGTTCACTGAGGTCGATCTAGCAAGAGAATGACTTCTGAGGAAAACAGATAAAATTTAGGAGAGATTAGGAAGGGGGAAAAAAAAAACCCAAACCGAAAACCAAACCTAAACCAAAACAACACAACAAACCAAACCAAGCCAAACAACCAAACACAAAACAAAACAAAACAAACAAAAACAAACAGGGAATTGTTTGTGTCTGCTTTAGTTACATGTAAAATAGGGATGGACAAGAATGAACCTAGGCTGCTCAATAAACTGTAAATATATGGGATTGACAAGATAGTGCATTACTGTTGTTACATAAAATTCTACTTCATAAATACTTTCAATGAAAAAAGTTTGATTGGTATGATAAGCTTAATGAAAGCTTCATGAGCTCTTTTCCTAGATATCTACATTCTACTGCACCATTACCCTGAAGTTCTATGAAACGGGAATTTGCAGTGTGCAGTGTGCTGTAGACTGGGGCAATGAAACATAATTCTATAGTTGAAAGTCTGGCAGATTTATTTCAGGCTTTCAAAATCAATAGACAATATTGGAGAAAAGTCTTGCACCAAGTAGGAAAGATACAATCTAGAAAAATTATTACAGTGCTTGGATGAAGCTTAACTTTACTCTCTATAACTACCTGGACTACTGCATCCAGCTCTGGAGCCCTTAGTATAAGAAAGACGTGGACTGGTTGGACTGGGTTCACAGTAGGGCAACAAAGATGATCAGAGGGATGGAAAATCTCTCCTATGAGGAAAGGCTGAGACAGCTGGGATTGTTCAGCCTGGAGAAGGCTTCAGGGTGACCTGGTCTTCCAGTACCAGGTCTTCCAGTACCTGAAGGGTACAACTGGGTACTAAACTATTTTTGCTACCCCACCATCAACTGGGTATAGTGTTCCATTTAAAAATAACAAAACAGAATCTTAATATTACAATCTAAAGACTCTTGCATCTTCATTGACTGCTTTTAGCTTTGTATCCACGTCTAACGAGTGTGAAAATTACACTCTTATTACTCTCCTTCCATAGAATAACCCTTATTATTTACTTTGTTCTGAATTTCTTTGCCTTAGTCAAATAGTAATTGGTGAAGCAGATGAATATTTACCTACACTTTTATATTCTAGCAACTCAGTTCCCAATTATACAAATTTCAGAGCAAGAGTCTGCATTATTTTTATTGGAGTAAGGGTCTGTATTATTTTTATCCAAGCAAAAACTTCTATATAATTATGCAATTTTTTATAAAAGATAATATCATAAAAAGGAATAGATAAAAATACTTAGCTTATTGTTGTTTCCTTGATATTTCTAGTGAAATGTCAAAAGGATAGTATGAGCTGGAATTCCAACTTTGGATAGAATATGATTTCTTCCTTAATTTCTGTTTTATTGATATGTAAAATCAGAATATTCAGTAATTTTAGGGAGAAAACTTTACAACAACACTTTACAACATATTAAACAAAAGTTTTGTTCAAAATGAGACTAGCAATTATTTAAAGTACAGAAAGTTCTTGAAGGATCAAAAAAGAAAGGAACATTTCCTTTCAATTACCAACCAGAAAAGTACATAATCCTATTCAGTTAACTGACAAAAAGACATTTCCCTTACAGATTAACCCTGAAAGATTTGTAAGTTTGTAGAGCTGTTTCCACATGCAGTTCCTGCTCCCTCTTCACCACCTCTCAGCTACACAAAAATTGGTTTGTAGGATCTGAGAAAAATTTGATATGTACTCAAATTGAGACAGAACTAATTCTATTTTTAAAAAAAATTGTTCTGCATATCATTTAAAGAGAGCAGCAGTTTCAGAACACACAACACTCCTGGGCAAATTTTAGTTTTCCAATCTCTGCAGTAAGAGGTAACAAGCAGAACTTGTGTCACCTCCCTGACATTCATGTCTTGTTGTCAGAACTCTACTGTGCAAAATTTTCTGCCAATGAAATTGAAGACAGTGCTATATTTCCAAAGCTAATCAGCCATTTATTCTTGAGTATATTGTTTTAATATAGTTTTATCACATAACATGCATGGAAAATGGGTTTGATTTATAATAATTTTATATATATTAGTATTTTTCAACAGATTTTTCTCCAATTGTTTATGGTTGTTCTTTTATCTTTCTTTATGATCCAGGTATGAATGGCATTGTTATTATTTATTTTATTACAAAGAAAATGCAACAAGAGGTAAGCAAAATATGTGTAAAATACAAAGCATTTTATTCTACATTCTACAGAGTGTAAATTAGCCATCCTGAGCTTATAAAATGATCAGTCTGGTATTTATTTTCAGCTGCTATGGATAGCATCAGCCAGAATAATCAAATATTCATTTGCATAGGGGTCCCATGGGCAACTTGAGACACAAACACATAGCAAGGCCACTCTGAATCACAGGAATGCAGACAAACTGTCTTGTTACTTCTCCACAAAAATACTCTTGTAAGACGTATATACATTGTATTTGCTGAGAAAGTCATAACTTATGAAGGAAGATTCCCCAAAGCAGTTACCCCAAATGTTTTATCCTATTTCTGTTCAGAAATCTCAGTAAGTCAAATGTTCTCAGAAACTCAACAGGGACAAACTCAATGGGCATTGGCAGGGAAGACATAGTATGATTCCATCTGAAGAATACATTACCATGACTAATGCCTTATATGTTTTCTAAAATATGATTTCTAATATACCTGTTGATGTGAAATCATAGTTTGGAAAGGGAAATATTCAGCAGGTAATCAAGTCACAAATTATTTCAAGCAGAGAAGTTAATTTCTGATCTACCTAAGAGCAATCAAATCTAATGCTATTTTGGACAGACAATATGTATTGCCATTTGTCAGAAAGTAATTATTTTAATGAAATTATCTTCACCTATGCTTGCTCGACAAAGTGAACAAATTCAGGCAGTATATGTTTTAAATCTGACTTTATATGATTCACAGTCATGAATGATTTTCCTGTGACAGCTATCAGTGTTTGAAGTTTCCAGCCAGGATGAACTTTCACCATACTTGCCAAAGAGGACCACAGAGAGCTTCTCTCAGTTTTTAGAAAAGCAAGCTGTTTCTCCCTTTACTTTACTGACCAAACACCAGCTGAGACTAAAGGAAAAACTCTGCTTAAAAGTTTATCTGGGAACTGGCAGTTAGTATTTAATCAAGACATCAGATCAAATGCGTGTTCTCATCTAAAGCTGTTTCCAGGTTAAAATAAACAGTCATTTTTATTATGATAATATAAATTTGCATAGGCAATGCCAAAGAAGAAACATTAGCTAATGTATTATTAATGTACTGAAAACCTACCTTCAGCTAAGTTTCAGATAATTATTTTGTTCCAACCATAAATCACATACTAACCAGAGTCCTTTGTGAACTAGTGTGAAATACAAATCATCTAGATAGACAATATTAAAAAACTATTTTTTTCCATTGGCATTGTAAAAAGCAAAGTCATTAGTTCCTGCGTGAAACCACATGCATATTTATTACTGGCTTTCTATCTAGATCCGTAGTACATATTCTTTTTTCCCCCAAATACAGGATAGACATATAGGCTTATATCTTACCCTATTCCTCCTGGCCTGTGTCAGAAGGATAAATTTAAAAAAGTATCATCTCCTGGTTTATGTGGTGATGATATAGCTGATTTAGTCTGGTTTTGGAGATCAAAAAAGGCAATATTGTTGCCTCTGTTTTTCTGTCAGACAGCTAGTGAGAGTCAAATCTCTGCTCCTCTGAGACTCTGATTTTTGACACAAATCATAATTTATGCTTTTTGTCTTTGCCCCAACCATGGAGTACTATGGGCATGGTTGGGGCCCCTGTAACTGTGCTGTCAAACTAACTTTGTCTTCACAGATGTGTTCTCTTGGTGATAACCACACCAGCTAAAGGCACTATTTTCCCCAGATGTCTGCCTCGATCTGCTTTTGGAGAACAATGCCCTGCAGCAGTTATATTAGAAGAATTTGTATACTGACTTTATCATAAAGGGCTTAGACTGATATATTTGACTATGAAGGGCAGCAT